CCTCACAGTGACCTCACATCCTCCATTGGAGGTGGGGTGTTCTTGAGGGGCAGGTGCAGCCTGGGGTGAAGAGGTCCCTTTCACCTGAGGGCAAGTCTTTGGGAGGAATTTGCCACCAGCTGTCAGTGGTGACAATTCTGGCCTCTGGAGAAATGAGTGTCTTAGTCCCGAAGTGGACATCACAATACCCACCACTGTCCACCACTTGCAGTGCTTAGAGCCATTTGCTTTGAGTATAACCTTCGCTCCCTCTAGGTCTAGCTTTCTTCTGGCTGGTCTCTTTTCCTAAGGAAACTCACAAAGGGGAAGGTGGTGGGACAACATAAAATCCCTGCTACTGCAGTTGATCTCAGATGTTGAACTTTTTTATTTATTAAAAAAGATTTATTTTATTTATTTGAAAGACTTACAGAGAGGGGTAGAGCCAGAGAGAGAGGTCTTCCATCTGATGGTTTCCCAGGTGGCCACAAACGCTGGAGCTGGGCTCATCCGAAGCCAGGAGCCAGGAGCTTCTTCCAGGTCTCCCACGTGGGTGCAGGGGCCCAAGGACTTGGGCCATTTTCCACTGCTTTCTCAGGCCATTTCAGAGAGCTGGATCAGAAGAGGAGCAGCTGGGACTCAAACAGGTGCCCATATGGGATGCCAGTGCTGCAGGCTGGAACTTTAACCCATTGCACCACAGCGCCAGCCCCCAGATATTAAACTTAACATTCTCCATCTCCCTTTTCAATAACCCATTTAGAATATTTCCTTTTTTTTAAGATTTTATCTATTTATTTGAGAGGTAGAGTTACAGCCAGTGAGAGGGAGAGACAGAGAGAAAGGTCTTCTTTCCATTGGTTCACTCCCCAAATGGCCGCAAGGGCCAGAGCTGCGCCGATCCGAAGCCAGGAGCCAGGTGCCAGGTGCTTCTTCCCGGTCTCCCATGCGGGTGCAGGGGTCCAACCACCTGGGCCATCTTCCACTGCTTCCCAGGCCATAGCAGAGAGCTGGATTGGAAGAGGAGCAGCCAGGACTAGAACAGGCGCCCATATGGGATACTGGCACTGCAAGTGAAGGATCAACCTACTGTGCCATGGTGCCAGCCCCCAAACATTTCTTGACCTGAGTGGGGGCCTTCACTGGTTTCAGTGGCTTGCCTGGAGGGGACCATCATCACTGTTCAAACTGACCCCTGCTCAGGGTCTGGATGGGTCCTTGACTGTCAAAATCAGTCAGGGAAATACCCCGAGATGCCTCCATAGGTGACTCCCCAAAAACCCGAGCTTGTGTGAGATGCAGTGTACGAGTGCTCACTCTGGGGAAGCCAGCACTTAGAGTCCACATTTTCATTTCCCTCCCTGAGTCTCACAACATGCCCAAGGGTGTTTCAATGTGTACTTAAAACCTGACACCTCTTTCAGACTATATCCTCTATATGCTTTCAACAAGGTGTTGGAAACCAGCACATCAACACATCATTTTAGAAATGTTGAAAATTTGCCGGAGCCACGGCTCACTAGGCTAATCCTCCGCCTTGAGGCGCCAGTACACTGGGTTCTAGTCCCGGGCGGGGTGCCCGATTCTGTCCCGGTTGCCCCTCTTCCAGGCCAGCTCTCTGCTGTGGCCAGGGAGTGCAGTGGAGGATGGCCCAAGTGCTTGGGCCCTGCACCCCATGGGAGACCAGGATAAGTACCTGGCTCCTGGCTTTGGATCAGCACGGTGCGCTGGCCGCAGCGCGCCAGCCGCGGAGGCCATTGGAGGGTGAACCAACAGCAAAGGAAGACCTTTCTCTCTGTCTCTCTCTCTCACTGTCCTCTCTGCCTGTCAAATAAATAAATAAATAAAAAGAAATGTTAAAAATTCTGCAAAAGCAGCGAATTGGGTTCTGGAGAAAACTCCTGTACACCCTTTCTCATGTAAGCTATGTCATTGGCGGTCGAAGCTGGTCATACTATTTCCTCCAGAGAAGTAGCTCAGTGTTTAATGGATCACGGGGAAACTATATTCCATGTTAAGTGCCTACTGTTTCTCTACAATTAGGACAGCCAATTGCAATTACAATTAGGACTCAGCCAGGATGTATATATCTGTGTCCATGCTGTACTGTGAAACATTGTAACTACCTCACCTACAGTTTGATAATTTGTAGGTAAGTCATAGATGCACAAAGGTGCAAGCTTACCTTGGCACCAAAGGCAATGAACCAATCTGGAAATTGTCTAGAAATTATTTGACAGTGGTGACCCCAAGTTCACCTCTGTTACCAACTGAAATGTTTAATGCATAAGTATTTGATTTTTTTTTTTTTGTAAAATAGGTCATCAAGTTATCAGGTTCATGCTAAATCTAACATTCTGTATTTAATTTCAGATTCTGTTTGTCTTGCATCTCTCCCAATTATTGATTTAAAACAACATCCATTCATGATTCTTTTTCCCCTCCATATTTTTAAAGAACATTTTTGCCAGTAGGCTAATCAAGTAGATTATATGGAAATTAATAATATCTTTTTATCAGCTCTTTAATAAAATATGCAGACATGCAGTAATGCAAAAACATCATTTTGATTAAGAAAGCAAAAGGACAAATAAAGTTAAATTGGAAGATATTTTTGAGACAATGATATAATTTAATAGCCTAGAGCTCATTTATACGTGCTCAGCTTATGGCTAGAACTGATGGAGGGTGAGAAGAATAATGTAACAATAGAGAGAATCTGCAATCTGATTTACTGTATTTAATGAATTTTGTGCGTCCCCCAATCTATGTTTATGCTCCATAAAACAAAAATAACCTTCTTTCGCAGAAGCTCTAATCAGAGACTGGAACATAGCAGCTGCTTAATAAATAGATGTTGAACTAAACCATGCCAGAGATTGTATTGCTCCTACCCCCGTATTGCAACCAACTTCTTTCTCCTTCTCCCCTTCTCTTTTTCATTTCTTTTCTCCTCTTCTCTCCTCTCCTTCCTCACTCTTTTTTTCTATTTCTTTTTAGTCTCCTCTTTGTTTTTCCTTTCTTTCCCTTCTCCCCTCAAAGCAGGTCACAGGAAGTTTGGAAGACACAGCAGAACAGATAGCTTACTGGGGATCACACCTTCTGTGGCCCTGTTTAATACTTTTTTACTGACACGGGAATCTTGCAGCTACATGACTTAAGGGCCTGTGTTATGGTGGAGTGGGTTAACACTGGCATCCCCTATTGGAGCGCCGGTTGGAGTCTCGGCGGCTCAGCTGCCTGGAAACGTGCCTGAGGAGGCAGTGGAAGGGAGCGCCACTCAAGTGGGAGACCCGGCTCCTGCCTTCAACCTTGTGCCCATCTGGTTGTTGTGGCCACTCAGGGAGTGAACTAGCAGATGGAAGTCTCTCTAACCACCCCACCACCCCCCACGCTTTCAAATAAATAAATAAATCTTTAAAAAATAAATTTACGTGACTAATATGTAAAGAAAGATTGTCCTGTCGCAGAGATGTTTCATGTAATGAAGATAAGCCATCCATTAGGCAGAAGCACCCCGTCCTGCCCTTGTCTTGTGGAGCACGACTTCTAAGGGCATCTCTCCTTTTCCAGTGCCCTGAGGCAGTCTGTGGTGGATGATCCATCTTCATTAGATTTTTTTTAAGATTTATTTATTTATTTGAAAGTCAGTGCTATAGAGAGGAAGAGGCAGAGACAGAGACAGAAAGAGAGAGATCTTCCATCTGCTGGTTCACTCCCCCCAGCTGGCCACAGCAGCTGAGGGTAGGCCAGCCTGAAGTTAGGGGCTTCATCTGTGTCTCCTACTTGGGTGCAGCGGCCCAAGGACTTGGGCTATCCTCCACTGCTTTCCCAGGCCATTGGTAGAGAGCTGGATCAGAAGTGGAGCAGCCAGGACTCGAACTGGCACCCTTATGGGATGCCAGCATCACAGGAAGCAGCTTTACCCACTACACCACAGTGCCAGCCCCAGGAGATCCTAATTGTAACATTATTTTGCGTATATGTAGTCTTACTTCCTATCTAAATACTTCAAATACATTTATTGTTATCCAGAAATGTTGCCATCAACATTTTAAGACAGTACATCAATCAGAAATATCCACTGTTTAATTTTTTAAAAGACATTTTATTCACTTGAAAGGCAGAAAGTCAGAGGAGAGACAGAGGAAGATATTCCAACCTCTGGTTCACTCTCCAAATGGCCACAACAGCTGAGGCTGGACCACGTTGAAGGCAGGACCCTAGAACTCCATCTGGGTCTCCTACTTGGGTGGCAAGGGTCCAGGCACTCCGACTGTCTTCTGCTGCTTTCTCAGGTGTGTTAGCAGGGAGCTGGATCAGAAGTGGAACAGCCAGGGTTTGGACCTGTTCTCTGATATGGGATTCCGGGGTCACTGGCCACAGCTTAACCTGCTGCACCCCACCCGTCCCTCACTGCCCAGTTCTCAGGAATAATGTTAAAATGAGGCCATGGCCATATGTGCCACTGATTAGGCAAACAGCTGAGAAACAACCAATCTTGTTTTGCTTTGCAAAGGTGAACATTTTACCCGAAATCAATCTTCTTATTAGACTTGGGGAGTCAAGGTTGACTCTGTATGACAACTCTTGGATCACAGGGAGTAAATGAAGTGTAAGAAAATTTCTTTTTGTTACAATCACCAACCTCCCACCTTCCTCCCCCAACAGAAACAAACTGTCATGTTCCTGTACTAAGCTTCATTTAAATTGCGGATTTAACGTATAATACATAGCTTAGCTTTTCATAGTACTAAGGTGACGTATTGTTTTTTAATATGATGACGGGAACCACACTGTTTTCAACAAGCGTATAACCATGAAAGTTTAATGTGTCCTGCTTTAGAAAATGGTGGCAGTGTTGCCGCTTTGAAAATCATTGTACTTGACAATGGAGCCTCCTTGTGGGCAATTAGCAGTATTTCAGGTTTTCACGTTGCACAGGAACTTGAGTTTTTCCCTTTCATGGTGGTTAATGCTGTCAAGAAAACAAGTACTTGCCTGTGGGATCCTGCTAACCCAGAAATCAGCAGGGCTTCAGTGGCCACCAGGCAGTGGCTCTCCTTAACTGTACGTGTGTTGTCAGCCCCAAGGGTCTCTTCAGCCTTGTCAAGGGGAGTACTAACCCTCTTTCCTTTCATACAACACTGGGCTGTCTCTCCTCTGGTTTGTCTATGGTCCTCATGTTGAAAGAGGAGGCAGTGTTACATCCATTGTAATATTCCTTGGGGAGAAAACAAGTTCGCTCACAGTTGTCTTTCATTTTAAACTGCCCCATGTGGTAGGACCCTTAAACATAGTAAATTAGGCCGGCGCCGCGGCTCACTAGGCTAATCCTCCACCTTGCGGCGCCTGCACACCAGGTTCTAGTCCCGGTCGGGGCGCCGGATTCTGTCCCGGTTGCCCCTCTTCCAGGCCAGCTCTCTGCTGTGGCCAGGGAGTGCAGTGGAGGATGGCCCAAGTGCTTGGGCCCTGCACCCCATGGGAGACCAGGAAAAGCACCTGGCTCCTGCCATCGGATCAGCGCGGTGCGCTGGCCGCAGCGCGCCGGCTGCGGCAGCCATTGGAGGGTGAATCAACGGCAAAAGGAAGACCTCTCTCTCTCTCTCTGCCTGTCAAAAAAAAAAAAAACATAGTAAATTAGACAGAAATGTGTTTTGGCTTAATCCAGTGGAATCATTTCTCTACTTTTGGCAAAGAACAGATGCGCCTTACTTAAAAAAGTCAAGTGCATTGGGAGAGAGATGCAGGTCACCCAGATGGGTGACCATGATGACAAGTGGGAGAATTTGGCGGTGTGTACATTGGTAACCAGTGATGGAGAGTCAGCTAAGGAGGAACAGCCAGGATCCAGGGAGTCATGACATGGTGAGATTACTCCCCCAGTCCTGCCTGCACGTGTGGAGAGGGTAAGCCAGTAATGGCTGTAAAACTGATCTGGATCCAAGAGAGAGGGCTCACATAATAGTATGGTTTAAAAGAAAAAGAGAAGACTGGCCTACAGGTAAACTGAATTTGCTCCAGGACTTTTCCCTAACTAATTTGTATTGCTCCCAACTTTGTATTAGGGTACCATTTTCTCCCCAACCTCACCACCTCACCAGCATTTGTCATTTTTTGATTTTTGCATAATGGCCTTGCTAACTGGGGTGAGATCAAACCTCATTGTTGTTTTGATTTGCATTTCCCTGATGGCAAGTGATCCTGAACATTTTTTCGTGTGTCTGTTGCCCATTTGCACTTCATCCTTTAAAAAATGCCCATTTATAGTCTTTGTCCATTTTTTAACTGGGTTGGTTGTTTTGCTGTTGAGTTTCTTGGGTTCCTCATATATTCTAGATATTAATCCTTTATCTTACGGATAGTTTGAAAATATTTTCTCTCATTTGCCAGCTGCTTCCTCAGTTTGTTAATTATTTCCTTTGCTGTGCAGAAGTTTCTTAGCTTGATGCAATCCCATTTATCTATTTTTGCTTTTACTGTTGATGCTGCTGAGGGCTTATCCAAGAACTGTTTGCCTAGGCCAATTTCTTACAGCATTTTCCCTATGTTTGCTTCTAGTAATTTGATGGCTTCAGGTCTTATGTTTAGATCCCTGGCCCGCTGTGAAGTTGAGTTTTGTAGGGGGTGTAAGGTAGGGGTATTGTTTCAAACTTCTACATGTGAAAATCCAATTTTCCTATCACCATTCATGGAAGAGACTGTCCTTTATCCAGGGAATTATTTTAACTAATTTGTCAAAGATTAGTTGATTGTAGATGCATGGATTAATTTCTGGAGTTTCTATTCTATTCCATTGGTCTACAGTCTAATTTGGTGCAATCACCAGGCTGTTTTGTATGTCTTGAAATCTGGTATCTTGATTCCTCTGGCTTTGTTGTTTTAAAATTATAGTAAATGTAGAATTTGTAAAGCCTTTAGTATAGTGTGTATTCAACAGAAAATATGCAAAGTAAATGCTCAGCCATCATCATACCTGAAAGAACAATGAGACAGAAGATACTGAGAGATCAAATGTGATGAGGAATGAAAAGAAGCCATTAAAAAATAATCAGTGACTGTGCTGACAGCTGGTTTATAAGCATGCTTGTAATGGGCACCAGACTCTAGTACTGGGAGGTGGGAAACTGGAGATAATAAATGGAGTTTCTGCCATGGGACTCCAAATCCCATTAAGTTGGCAGATACCAATGCCATCTTACTAGTTAAAGTGATCAGTTCAAGTTCATAACTTATCATTAAGATAGGATTAAGTGTCAAAGGGATCACATAAATAAGACCAAGTGTCTGCTAATAATAATTGATAGAGTTAAAAAGGAGAGAATGATCCAATATGGGATACACAGCAGACTCATAGAATGACAAATGCCCTAAATAGCGCTCTGGCATCAGAATCAGCCCTTAAGTCATCTGGATCTAGCTAAAAAGCCCATCAGAGCATTTCAGGCATGGAAAGTCAAGACACTGTGGCAAAAAATGACCTATTGAGTGAGATCCCGGTGGAAAGAAGAGGCCATCAGAGAAGGAGGTTCCTTTCTCTGAAGGCAGGAGAGAAGTTCCACTTTGATTGCCTTGTCCAAATAATTTCAGAGTTTTTGGACTCAAGAGGCTTCCATAGCCTTGGCAGCTCATGGCAAGAGCCTCGGGTGATTACTGACATCATACATAGGAGTGTTAATTATTACAACAACAGGAGGCATTGTGCGTTTACTCCCCATGTAGAATCTCTGTCCTTAATGTGTTGTACTATGAGAATTAATGGTAAAACTAGCATTAAAACAGTACTTTATACTTTGTGTGTCTGCGTGGATGCAAACTGTTGAAATCTTTACTTAGCATAGAGTTGATCTTCTGTATATAAAGATAATTAAAAATGAATCTTAATAAATAATGGGATGGGAGAGGGATTAGGAGGTGGGATGGTTTGGGAGTGGGAAGGTGGTTATGGGGGGAAGAATCTCTATAATCTAAATAAAAAATAAATAAAAATAAATGGAGGTTCATTCTTGAAGAACTTTAGCTACAGAGAGAGAAGAAGATAGCTAGAGGGAGTCCTAGAAGTGGGTTTGTTTTATAGAATAGGGAGACCAATTTATTTGTAGAATAAGGAGAAGCATTCTGTGGATAAACAGAAAATTGAAAACTGAAGAGCAGTAAAAATTGAAGGCAGGCAACATGAGGAGCATATAATCAGTTTTCTAGGGGCTGCCGCTGTGGCGTAGTGGGTGAAGCCACCGCCTGCAGTACCAGCATCCTATGTGGGCACCAGTTTGAGTCCCAGCTGCTCCACTTCCTATTCAGCTTTCTGCTGTGGCCTGGGAAAGCAGTGGAAGATGGTCCAAGTCCTTGGGCCCCTGCACCCCTGTGGGAGACCTGGAAGAAGCTCCTGGCTCCTGGCCATTGCAGCCATCTGGGGAGTGAACCTGCGGATGGAAAACCCCCCACTCCGTGTTTGTGTGTGTGTGTGTGTGTGTGTGTAACTTTCTCTCTGACTTTCAAATATATAAAGAATTTTCAAGATTCTTTTGTTTTATTAATATTATTATTTAAGGATTTATTTATTTACTTGAGATACATAGTTACAGACAGAGAGAAGGAGAGACAGAGAGGTCTTCCATCCACTGGTTCACTCCTCAAATAGTCACAACTCACAACTGGACCTAAGTCAATCCAAAGCCAAGAGCCAGGAGCTTCTTCCAGGTCTCCCACATGGGTGCAAGGGCCCAAGTACATGGGCCATCTTCTACTGCTTTCCCAAGCCATAGCAGGGAACTGGATCAGAAGTGGAATAGCTGGGACTCAAACCAGTGCCCATATAGGATGCTGGCACTGCAGGCGGAGGCTTAGCCCACTATGCCACAGTGCCAGCCACTGTTTTATCTATTTTATTCTTTTTTAATCTAGTCATTATTTTAAAATAATTTTTTATTTATTTTAAAGGCGGGGGGGGAGGGAGAGAGGGAGAGAGGAAAGGGAGGGGAGAGAGGGGAGAGAGGGATTTGCCACCACTGTTATACTCTCCAAATGCGTGTAGCAGCTGGGGCTGAGCCAGGTGGAACTCAGTCTGGAAGTCTCACATGGGTGGCGTGAGCCCAGACACGTGTGCCGTCACTGCTGCCCTTCCAGGGTTCCCATCAGCAGGAAGCTGGACTAGGGACTGGAGCTGGGACTTGAACCTGGAGCTCCAATACGGGTAACAGGCATCCTAAATGGTTTCTCTACTTGTAGGCTGGAAGACTACCCCTCACTCTTTCTATCTCACTAGGAATACTTGAAAAACAAATACTCTCTCTATTTGAAATACAGTAAGCTGCCAGCGATGTGGTATAGCTTGTGGAGGTGTGGGTGAGCTGGAAGTACCTGCAAGCCACAATGAAATGTTATCCCTTTACCTGTCATTCAAAATGCCCCCTTTCCCAAGATGCCTCTGTTCATCTGGGACCTGGGGTAGGAGGGCGTGAAAATACGAAAATTAAGCTCCAGGTGGAATTTATGTAGGTATCATTAAATTCCCAGGTGGCTTCACACATGTAGATGAACTACCCCCTACTTAGTAAAAGAAGCCAGAGATAGGAAGAACCCTGTCTCTCCATCTACTGTGGCCAGAGGTGCTATTTGATTCCTCTCTCTCTCTCTCTCTCTCTCTCTCTCTCTCTCTCTCTCTTTCTCTTTCCCCTCAATGCTCTGGCCCACTCATGATGGGTATCTTTCCACATGGAGCAAAACACATTCAGACATGTATGTGTGTTCACTTTCTCACCTTTTGAATAAATCCTGTTTACACTTTGTGTGCATTACACATATCTTAACTTACAATGCTTATCTTTGTGTAAGACAAGGACCTGGAAAAAGATTAGAATATACCCATGCCCACAATACCAGGTCTGCCTCGGTTTCCTAGTCTGAACTTTTCAGATGCACAATCTATACATAAATTATAAGAGTGACCTACAAAGCTACAGTGCATTTTAAATGCACTTAAAATACCAAACTGTAGTTGTTATTTTAGAAATACTCTTTTCCAGGATATTATAATACTAAGCAGAGTGAAAGGTATCCTATATTCAATATAAATCTATGTTTTAAGATTTGTTTTATTTGTTTGACAGAGAGAGAGAAAGAGAGATCTTCCATCTGCTAGTTCACTC